GGTTAAGTGGATGTTATGCTACTCCAGTAGCACTCCTAGCTCAGGTTAAGTGGATGTTATGCTACTCCAGTAGCACTCCTAGCTCAGGTTAAGTGGATGTTATGCTACTCCAGTAGCACTCCTAGCTCAGGTTAAGTGGATGTTATGCTACTCCAGTAGCACTCCTAGCTCAGGTTAAGTGGATGTTATGCTACTCCAGTAGCACTCCTAGCTCAGGTTAAGTGGATGTTATGCTACTCCAGTAGCACTCCTAGCTCAGGTTAAGTGGATGTTATGCTACTCCAGTAGCACTCCTAGCTCAGGTTAAGTGGATGTTATGCTACTCCAGTAGCACTCCTAGCTCAGGTTAAGTGGATGTTATGCTACTCCAGTAGCACTCCTAGCTCAGGTTAAGTGGATGTTATGCTACTCCAGTAGCACTCCTAGCTCAGGTTAAGTGGATGTTATGCTACTCCAGTAGCACTCCTAGCTCAGGTTAAGTGGATGTTATGCTACTCCAGTAGCACTCCTAGCTCAGGTTAAGTGGATGTTATGCTACTCCAGTAGCACTCCTAGCTCAGGTTAAGTGGATGTTATGCTACTCCAGTAGCACTCCTAGCTCAGGTTAAGTGGATGTTATGCTACTCCAGTAGCACTCCTAGCTCAGGTTAAGTGGATGTTATGCTACTCCAGTAGCACTCCTAGCTCAGGTTAAGTGGATGTTATGCTACTCCAGTAGCACTCCTAGCTCAGGTTAAGTGGATGTTATGCTACTCCAGTAGCACTCCTAGCTCAGGTTAAGTGGATGTTATGCTACTCCAGTAGCACTCCTAGCTCAGGTTAAGTGGATGTTATGCTACTCCAGTAGCACTCCTAGCTCAGGTTAAGTGGATGTTATGCTACTCCAGTAGCACTCCTAGCTCAGGTTAAGTGGATGTTATGCTACTCCAGTAGCACTCCTAGCTCAGGTTAAGTGGATGTTATGCTACTCCAGTAGCACTCCTAGCTCAGGTTAAGTGGATGTTATGCTACTCCAGTAGCACTCCTAGCTCAGGTTAAGTGGATGTTATGCTACTCCAGTAGCACTCCAAGCTCAGGTTAAGTGGATGTTATGCTACTCCAGTAGCACTCCTAGCTCAGGTTAAGTGGATGTTATGCTACTCCAGTAGCACTCCTAGCTCAGGTTAAGTGGATGTTATGCTACTCCAGTAGCACTCCTAGCTCAGGTTAAGTGATTGTTATGCTATGTGTTCAGAGAAATGTGTTTATTATTGTCACTTACTCGGCGTAGTAACCAGGCATTAGGAATGCATGAACCAGCAATACAGCTGGTAGAAGAGTGGGGTAAGACTGATGGTAGAAGAGTGAGGCAACACAGCTGGTAGAAGAGTTGGGGACAACATCGCTTATAGAATAGAGGGGCAACACAGCTGGTAGAAGAGTACAGACAACATATATGTAGTATAATGGGGCAAAAAAGTTGGTAGAAGAGTAAGGCAATATAGTTGGTAGAAGAGTGGGGGAATTATAGCTGGGCATTTGAGGGGCAACGTAGAAGTGAAGTGTGTTTGATATTAAATTTTTAAGACTTGTTAAAATTTAAAAAAAAAATTTTTTTGTTCGAAAGTGTGACGTACTTTAAAAAAGGGGGGGGGGAGTCCGAGATGTGTGACAGATTGTGACAGGTGGCAGAGGGGTACAAATGGTCAAAAATAGCGTTACGTACCGTGTGGATGGTCCCTAACGAGTCAGCGTCCACCGGAAGCCGGAAGCCGACGTAATGGAGTGGTTTTTTGCGGGGTTTTGTCTTTAAGCCATTGATTTTTGATTTGTTGATTTTCCTCGCCAGAGTAACATTGGGAGGATAATCAGAATGATAACCAAAGAGAAGTTAAAAACACAAATGATTCCTTTCTTAAATTAAAAGCAAGTCGTAATGAATTTTTAATTGGATAATAGGACTAAACAGTTGATTTAGCAAACTATTCAAATGTAAATGTATAGTTTGAATTAGTTTTCTTGGCTTTTTTTTTCTTTTTTTTTTTTTTTT